CTCTGAAATATTATTATTATGTTATTAATATGTAAAACTTTAGTTCGAACTGAAAAATAATTTCGCTTCTTAATTATATTTCTAAATATCAATCTAATGTCTAATGTCTCAAAATTATTGTTTATTGCTTTCATTAATAATTAAACAAAAGTATCGCAAAATTTTTTAGACTAATCTTATTTCAGCATTAAAAAAGTAACGGAAAAGAAATTGTTATTTTTTATATAACGATAACAATATTGAGTTACTTTTGAGAATCAATAACTGATAACAATTATTATTTTTATTTGGTTAATGAGAAACGATAACTAGTTATTTTTAAAAAGTAACTTTCCATTTTCTGCTTATTTATACGTGTATATGTATATATGCATTGTAATAATACATTTTTTTTTCTATGTAAATTATGGACATTTAGCGATAATGTTACTGATTTTATTCCTAATTATTATACTATAATATATAAATGTTGTAAATTATTTTTTTAAATATACTTTAGAAGTAAAAATTAATTTAAATTTAAATTAATTATTTCTCAAGTATATTTTATTAAGTTATATATCACAAGCTTGACAATAATAATTAAGTTATTTTATCTTTTTAAAATTATTTCATCTACTTGAACAAAAAAGCGAGCTAATAAATATTACATCAAGTTTATAATGGACTATAATATTGTTCAGAACAATTATTTTTATTCACTTTGTACGTTTATTTTGTAAACAATTATATTCATATTTTTCATTATACAATATTATATCATTATTTTTTGTTTCAGTATCTTTTGTTTTCAAATTAAAGGCAATTTTATGATTCATTAATAATATAGCGTATTTGTACTATTAATCATGAGCGTCTACATTATGGTTGATATGGATACACACTCGAAATTTTTCCACGTGCGGAATTCCATACTTAGAAATTCGAAGAATGTATAAATTATTTTTTGACGAAATAATTTATTATTTAATATTTTATTAAAAATGAAAGTTGATTAAACTATATATATAGATATATGAAAAATTGCGTGTTTCAATCGGCACTCGATCGACGATTACCTCTTTTACGGCGATTACCTCTTTGTCGATCGGTATTTCACTAGTCCAGATGTAGCGCTTCGATGAAACGAAAGTAACATTGATCGCATTATTACAACATATAAAATCAATTTGATAGGAGCAAATTAAAACTACTATCGAACGATGTTTTATACAGTGGAGGCCAAAAAAATAGAGATCTGTAATTTAAAACATGTTAATTTTTTGAAAAAAAATGTAGCCGTGAGAGAAATTATATCATAACACAAAATAAATACACAATATACAGAATACACAAAAATGATAAAATCTTTGCTTACAATTCCGGCAATATCCTGCACTGCGGAAAAATCTTTTTCGGCTCTTAGGAGATTAAAAACTTATCTATGTCCTACGATATTTCCAATTTTATTAAATAGTGCGGCTGTTCTGCACATTCATTCAGATGTTATAAAATCATAATTTAGAAACTATAATGGATAAATTTATGAGCAGAAACAAAATCCGTAATTCCACATTTGCGTTCTATATGATCTATATTATTAGGTGTGGGAAAAAGTTCGTGGCGTTTTTTTTGATGCCATCTAATGAGAAAAACGCTACGAACTTTTTCCCAATATATACTTTCATCTAATATATATATATATATA